GAAGGGTGAGTTTATAAGTAACTTACAGAAGCTAATGAATGATTTATGGGTGTTTTGATAGTTAATTTTAGACTGTTAGATAAATGGCTTGTAACCATCAAAGCCACTTTATTTTGGCTGTGTTTATTTGCACTTCTGTATCAGCGTGTTGCAGGTATGCCAACATTTATTAATGATTTATTAACCTGGTAGAAACCATCTGTAAATGCAGGCTTTGTTCAAAGTAAGAACATTTCTTATTTCTGTTTTCCTCCTCCCACTGAGGAGGTCTGCTTGAGGCAGCTGGCATAGCTGATGGGGAAGGCTCAGTGTTTCTTCTCTTGACTACACTGAGCTTCGAGCTAAGAGGAGGACTTCATTTTTCTTGTTGTGTCAGTAACTTAATCCTTTGTGGTTTTACTGTTCCTGAAATAATACAGTCAGGCTTGAGCCAAAGGAAAGCCCATCTCAATTCTCAGGAAAGTACAAGGATGTAGTAACCTTGGTCTTTCCCAAGCTAGTGAGCAAATGTTTTTACACTCTGTGATTTTCCCCAGCTGGGAAAGCAGAAGCATCTCCCACAAATAACACTTCATCCTGGAAGTTACAACAACAATTCTCTGCACCACTGTCCATAATGAAGTTCTGTTGTGGTAGTATTGGCTACGGGAAGATGAGCCATTGGTTTGCTGCATGGAATTTGCCAAAGGAAAATTAATTCTCATGTTCCAGTGAGAATCCAACCTTTCTAAACTTAGATTTCATAACAAATCCTGTAAAAAATTATGTAAACCTTCTTTTAACTCCTTCCCTCCTCCTCTACAATCTAATGACTAAAATGTCATCATGTATACAAAGAAGTGCTAGTATGCAGGAGCAGCAATGTACTCTAGCGTCACATCTGGAACGAGGCAGGGGACATTTCCAGGTTCTTTCTCTCCATGTCTAATTCAGAAGAGAGGAGAAAAACCTCAACATTTTTTCTTATATGCCTTCACTAATGTGCAAGAATTAAGTGAATGGGCAAGGAAGTGTTTACAAGGTAGAGATCTGCAGAATTACTTTTTTTTTCTTTTTCTTTTTTTTTTGCCAAATTCAAGCTAGTTCTCAAATCCCTATTGAGTATGGATACAAATGTGTATGATGAGTGGTTACAGATGGGCTGTTTCACTGCAGCTGAGTGTTCCTAGGTCCCACCAGTTGCCACCAGGACTTCAGGACAGTCAGCGTCTTTTGATGGCAAGAACCAGTGGAGGAAATAATAGGAAGGAGTTCTACCTCTTTAATCTCTGCTGCATCAAAACAAAAAGAAGAACAATTTTGCAGTTTCATGGTTTGCCATTTCTTCATTAGTTGTTTATTTAAGCTCTTCCTGCTGTATATTGGAGGGTTTTAGAATATTTTGGAGACACAAGGAATAATGGGAAGAAATTATTTTATGCCAAGGATTGTTTGATAAATTTTGTCTCATGTGTTGGTTCACTACAATCTAAACATCCTAAGAAATATATACAGAAAGATCTGTAAGAAGTAGTATAATTATTTGAAGGACCTCATCAGTCTTAGGGCCAATAGATTTATTCTTGTTTAAGCCTGAAATATAGATCTACTTATGAGACCTGTTCGTCAGATGCATGTTCCTTATGCTTCTGGCTATTTATGTTGACTTCCACAGGAGTATTTTTGTGTTTGATTTACAGAGTTGATCTTTAATGGGTGGCAATCTGTCCTTGCCACAGTGGGGAAGAGCAGATGAAATAGTGAGTTATGTGAGGGCAGAATCTGGACCAGTTCTTATCATAGAACCATAGAAAGGTTTGAGCTGCACGAGACCTTAAAGATCGTTTAGTTTCAACCCCCTGCCATGGTGAGAAACACCTCCTGCTAGACCAGGTTGTTCCAAGCCCCATCCAGGCCTTGAACACTTCCAGGGAGGGGCAGCCACAGCTTCCTTGGGCAACCTGAGAGTCTTAGTGAGAGAAACAAAAGTGGTTTGTTATTTGTGGTTTTTTGTTTTTTACACAAACAAACCAATATAAACACACTATCTGGATGGAGGTGTTATTTTTTTGTCATTAATTCTCACTATATTTGACCTTCAAAAGGACATGTAACAATGCAATTCAGAGCTACACTCCCTACAAGTTCAGCTCCTGTTGTGTCTGTGCAGTTGTGAAAAGTGAAAACAATGAAGCAGATACTTTGAACTGAGAAATGAGAAAAAAGAAAACTGGCAGCCTTTTCTTGCTATATTGTTAAATATCTCTATTTAAATGCAAATTATCATCTGAAACTGCCAAACAAAGTCATGTATCAGGAAGCAGGCATGCAAGTTTAAAAAAAAATTAAATTATTTTTTAACACTCTGGATCACTTTTATTTCCAGGAGGAGCAGAGTGGGCTGAATATGTTTGGTTGTTCCAAGTGTCAGCTCAGCACCTCAGAGTTTCAAATATGAAGTGTAGCTTTTGCAGGGGTGTGGGTGGCCTCTGTAGTGATCATTTAAAGTTTTCTCTGTGTTACCTCACTGCACATACTGCAGTGGAAAGCCCAGTATATATAATATGCTTTGGAAGGAGGTAGAATCCAGGGATCAAAAGAGGAAGAAAGAAATGGCCAAGCTCGTGCCTTGTTCTCCTTCAGGAATATGCGGATGCTTGAGAGCTGTGCATTTCTCTATACTGCATCTAGCTGCAAGATTTTATCCCTGAACTCCAGACCCCTTAAGAGAGACAGGCATGGGCTTTGACCACAAGGAAGGATCAGGTATCAAATAGTCTTGCAAGAGGACACCCTGTTGTCTATGGGTTGTATTCCTCCTAGCTGGTCCAGCAGGATTAGGAATGCACAGGTAAGGAGCAAGGAAAACAAGTGTTAGTAAGGTTATTTAAACGTGCATCTGGGGTTCTGCCCCTTCTCTTTCCCACCTCTGTCTGTGGACTAGCCAGTTTATAATGCTGGCTTCCTAGGGATCTTTTTTATTCAGTTGGGTGAGCACCAGAGCCAACAAACAAACTCATCTTAGTGACTCTTCTGTGTTAAAATTCTTCCTTTAATTTGCTGTTTACCTTACCTTCTTTTTAAACTTACATTCTTATAAATCAATACGGATCTATTTGCTTTCTGCACAGTGTTCCAGTAGTCTCGTAATAATCATCATAATCATTATTACTGATTAAAGTTGCATTATTCATGCCAGATGGAGTCCCCTCCCTGTCAGCCAGAATGAGTTTGCATTATGTAGTTATAGTACATTTGTGATCTGAATAAACAGATGGCAGAATGTGACAGCAAATTATGTGCTGGTGATGTCAGCAACAATGCTTCCCCAGTCTAAGTGCTTTAAATGAACATGAATGCAGCAAGGGGCTGGTAGTTCTAACAAGGTAGCTGGCATCCAGTGTGGTAATTACCCTGCAAACATCATCGATAGCTCCGGGAAGGCTGTGCAAGTGCTGAAGGAAGAGCCTTAGCTTTGGAAAAGCAGTGATGGAAAGTCTGATTTTCACAGCTATCATGGTGGGTTTGCTCAGCTGTATCATGTCTCACAGGTATAAGAGGACCAGAGTTTTCTTTTGGGGTGATCCAACCTTAGCTGAGAGGCATTTTGCAGTTTCTCCGCTATCTCCCATCAGGGCATGTGGGAAGTATTTGATTTAGTGTAATGAAGCAATGTTAACTGCATCTGCTGTTAATATAGGATTGAAAGGTAAGCTTCTGGATCAGGTTCAAAGGGGAAATTAGCTTAATAGAATCTCAGCGGTATTCTGTGATGAATAAAAGTTTAATCAAAGATGAGGTTAGACTCCTGTGGTCAAAAGAGTGGTGATAAGGACTGTGCACAGTCTTTAACAATGCCACTGTTGTGTTGCTCTGTTCAGCCCTTCAGGGCTGGCTGGGTGGAAAGGGCCTGGCTGCAACACACCTCGGACATTGCCACAGCTGGGGCACAAGGTGCAGCGAGACAGGAGCTCTGGGAGTATTTGGCATTCAGGGGGGAGAAGCACTAAGAGCAGGAGTATGGCTGAGCTCTGGCCACGTCTGCATGGGAGCTGCAAGATAAGGTCTCCATTCACTTACAGTCAGGACTGGTGTGGGACTGCCCAAGCATTTTCCCAAATAACCTAGGGTGCAGCCAGAAGAGAATATTCCAGTTCTGCCTGCTTTCCATTTCCTCACACAGAGACCAGCATTGAGCCATGAAATGGACGATGTGAACTCAACTCCCTCTTCAGTCCAAGTGGGTTTCAGTCAGCAATTACTAGGCAGTTTGTAACAATTTGTAAAAGCCACTGTTACTAACTCCTCCATCTGTATTTTACAATGGAAGCACCTACAGTTCCTTCTCTCTTGAGGTCCTAAACCTGTCAACACGTGGAAGGACAATGTAGAACATCATATGAGGTCCTCCAGAAGCTCAAGCACAGGCAGCTAGAGAACCAGCAGTTAGAAAAGTAAAGTTCCTGCGAGTTTAGCGGCTGCTGGGATGAAGCAGTTGCACAGGGAACATTCCTTTCCCATGATAATGGACATGTAGACCGTGCAAGCTTCTGGGGTCAGGGGCTGGGTTTAAGTTAAAGGCACTGAGTGTATCACCCCATCGTTCAGATGAAACTGAACATGCCATAGATATTGTCACACAATATCACAGCCATCCCTCCTCCTGTGGAGGAGTGAGTGGGTCTCATATATGACATAGAGAGCAATAACAATAGCCCTAGGTGATGCAATTATCCCTCTGTCCTCCAGACACATTCATCTTTTGTAGTTTTAAAATGTTCCAGTCATTAGAGGTAGCAGAGAGGTATTTAGGTGCTTAGCACCCCTATTTCGTTTATGTTTGACGCCAGTTCTGTTTATTTATCTGCGTCTTTTTTACAGGCAGTGTTTTAACCTTGGTGAAGCATTAAAATCCACCAAAGACAAGACGGACCCTCCTCTTCAGCAATTGCTGGGTGTCGAAGAAATGAAAGGAAGCCACATTTCTCATCTCTGTCTCTTTTCTGTCTGTCTGTCTGAAGGTGGTCGATGCCACAAGTCCTGCACAGGCCGATGCTGGGGACCCACAGAGAATCACTGCCAGACCTGTAAGTGTGCAACACTCTGAGAAACGAAGGACTGAAAAATGATGTGACAGGGTTCCTATATTTTATAATTGTGAAGGAATACTATAAATTCTGGTTTTAGTATAATTTTAAAATATTTCAGGGTTTTTTACTCTGTATTTTTACCTACAGATGATCTAGGGTTTTTTTCACCCATATGAATGTATGTATCTTCTTTCCTCCCTTGTGCTTTCAAAAAATAGTTAGGCTAACTTCAAAATTTTTTCACTTCTTGCCAGCAACACAGAGCATGGCTCCTGAGAATATTGATGGTTATTTTGAAATGTACTGACATTAATACATCAGGAATAGAAAAAAGCTACAGTGCAGAGTTAGAGATCTTTAATGATGGTGTGATGCTGCAAAGCTCCTAATGCCAAAACATTCTGTTAATTTCAGTGGGAGTCTGGGAATATTTGTTGTCTTGCAAAATTGTTCTTTTTATTATAACTCAGAATGTATTTGAGTTGTACTGAATGAGAGAATAATAGATTTTTTTTGTGAAGGAAGTAGTAAGTGAAGCCTCATTCACAGTGTTGGTCTGTCCTCTTGAATTTAGAGAGCATGAAAATGAATAAAAAAGAACTATAGTGAGAGAGTTTCTTCCTTCTGCACTTTCAGCTCCTTGAGATAGGCACTAGAGAGCTAGAAGTGCAGTCACAATGTTAGCAAATATAATTGAGAGCTGTCTTTTCCTACAAGGTTTTTGCTTTTTTTCCTTCTTCCAGGAATAGAGCTATCCTTAAAATTTCCTTCATTTGAAATTTCAGAGAGTGGAAATTGATTGCATTTACTGTAGTCACTCTTCCTAGGAAATGAAATGGCTGCTGATATCTACCCCAGAGAGCACTGCTCTGGCTTGTGCTTGTTTCCTTGGCTGAGCTGTAGATAGGAGGAAGGGATAGTGACAAATTAACTGCTGTCAAGTAAGGACACCAGCTAACTCTCTGAACTGATGATAGCCCAATGCCATCTGCCTCTTTTGTTGGAAATATTAAGAACAGTGCAACTATGACTTTTCTCTTCCTTTCTCTTTTCCTTTCAAAAGAGGAAATGAGAACTGGCAGTCAGCTTGACATGAATGTTTTATGAGTGAACAGGAGCAGAAAATCCAAGCTGACCTCCTGTTGGTGGCAAAGCGAGTGACACAGGTGACAGAGCTGCAGGCCTGCAGAGGTTCTGCCCCTGGGCTGGGCACTGCTTTTCATTCAGGGGCATCAGCTGAAGTTGCTGGCAATGCTGAGGACACTTACAGCTCTGCTACAGTTAACATGTTCTTATACTGCTGTTTCATATTGAGCTTTATCTGCACAAGTGATTAAAAATGCTTCAGGACAGACTGTAGGAGTAACTGTGTAGTGAACCAGATACAGTGGTGCTAAACAGATTCTTCTCTATCAGAATTGAGCTACTACATCTCCTTTCCTTCACTGGCAGTCTTTATGAAAGCCCCAAAGTCAGTGCTCAGAAAGCCTCCTTACATCAAGTTTATGGAAAGGATCTTAAACCCTAACTGACCAAATTATTTTGTATCATGGTTAGGTTAGAATTAATCAATCCTGGTTCTTTCTCTGTCCTAAGGAGAGGCCTGTTTGTCTACTAAAACTAGTAACTCTGTAAGAACCTGGGGATTTAATCCAAATTTGAGTAGACTTATTCGGGCCTTAGGTGGTTACCTTATCTAAGAACTCTGAAAAACCTTAGCAGTTATAGGGATGATGTGATCCTGGCTCAGGCCTTGGCTCCAGCAAGCAGAGGCTCCAGCCTTATCTAAAGTTGGAAAGTTCAACTGGACTGTGTGGTTGTAGATGTCTGTGTGGCAGGATCAGCTCCCATGGTCTGAACCTCTACAAAGCACTGCTCTCAGATAAGTGAAATCATTTGGTGGATTAATGTAGTAATACCAGAGAGAAAAACTTATCTGCAGCGTTGTGAAGTCAGAAGCTTAGCAGAGCTGCACGGTAGGTTTGCTCCAGGAGTGACAGCTATCTCTCTCTTCACAGTGACTGCCCTCTCAAATCCTAACAGTGGGCACAGGCTAAGGCAAACCGTGGATTTAAAATAATAACCTTATGAAAAGACACATGCCACCTAAGTTCCAGGGAGATACACACATCACACATTCCTAATTGGCAATAGCTACTCTACAGCCTTTTAACTTCCAGCACACTCTGCAGCCTCTGACTATCACCAGCAGGAGTTAATTTTATATAATATACTGTCTCTTTGCATCTCTGACCTCGCTGTACCTTGGCTAAACAGCAGGATTTAAGGAAAAGACAGAATATTAGGCTGGCAAGGGGCATTTTTTCATTGCACCTCCTGCAAATGTGTTTTTCCACATGCCGCTTTTAGCAAAGAATAAGAATATGGGTAGGGACTCCAAACATGGTGCTAAGCTTTTCCTGCCTTCCTTTCTGACTATAAAAACAAGCCTGGCTTTCAAGCTCATACATTTTATTCTTAGATAACATTTGATAAATGGTATCACAAACACTGTGTACACCATAACCTGGTCACCTTGAGCATTCATGTCTTTCAAACACCTGTAGGTAAATACTTCAGATGCACTGCATCCCAGTGACAAACTATCTTGTTCCTAGAAACAACTCAGGGGTACGTCTCCATTTTAATAATTTCTTTTTTTTTTTAATTGAGTCACTGAAGCAAAAAGTTCTAATAAGCCCCCTTCCCAAGATAAGATTTAAATGATATGCCTGGAAAAAGATAAAAAATAAAAGATCTTAATCTGTGTCTTTCATTTCAAATTGCATATGGAAAAAAAAATGAAAATCCTTTTGGGTTTTTTTGCATGAGTATAATCTACCTAGCTTCTTCTTACGTTGCCTTGCAGCAATGTCTCTCTGTACTTCTAACCTTGTCTGAAACAACACCTGCATCTGACTCTGTCCAAATGCCTTCCTAAATGTGACAAGAAAATGTACATATTTAACAAGGAAACTCATAGGAAATTTAAAATAAGGTCTTCTATCAGGAGGTACACAAGATGTAATTTCAGGGTACTGGTTTATGCAGTTATTGTGGTTTGGGCCTAACAGGACAGCAAAGAACCAGCCCCGTGGCCACTCACTCAACTCCCCACACACCCTGGGATGCGAAGGATAAAGGCCAGCTAGAAGCTCTTGGGTCGAGGCAAAGGGCAAGGAGGGGTCTGCACCAATTAAGGTCATGGGCAAAACAGGTTCAACTTAAGGAAAAATAATAATTTAATTTAGCACTAATTAAATGCACCCAGGACACAGACAACACAAAGAGCAGTGCTTGCATATGTTACCCCCACCCCTCTCTTCTTTCAAGGCCCAAATCTCTTTGTTTCCGGTTTGAAACTTTTACAAATTGAATACATTATTTTATTAAAGTGACAGATGATGCACTTTGTCCTATAGGAATGTAACTGAAACAAAAGAGAACAATTGATATTCAAATATAGGCCCAAGTAAGGGAAAGCAAAAAAGGCAAATAGCCTGTAAATCAAACCCCAAACATTAAAATTCAGCAAATGTAAAATGCTCCATGACTGTGTATGTGCACAGGAGTTTGGCCTGAGCATAATTGTATTTATACAGTCTTTGTGCAGCTGATGTTGCTGAGAAGAAGAAGGTGCCAACGCAGTAAGTACCCAATTAGAGCAGCAAAAGGCAAGTGGGAGCCTGGTGGGGGAGACAGAAAGAGCTGAACCAGCAGCTCGGATCAATCAGGGTAACCCAGCATTTTTGCTTGGAGCCAGCATCTTTAATTAAAATCCTTGTATTTCTCTAATAACTTTACATGTTCATAAGACTTCTTCATTGATTTCAGTTACTTCCCATTTTTTCCTTCATAGATTTATAGTGCCCTGACATAATTGAAGATTAAGGGAAACAATAAGAGAGACTGTTTAATTGCACACGTATATGAAGTGCCCATTTCACCCCGTTCCCAACACGGATTATTGTTATATCATGGTGAAATACTAGCAGAGATTGACAGTGTTCTGCACTTCCCTAGAAATTCATAGAATGTCTTGGGTTGGAAGGGACCTCTAATGGTCCTCTAGTCCAACCCCTCTACAATAAGCAGGAGCATCTCCCACTAAACCAGGTTACTTAGAGCCCATCAAGCCTGACCCTGAATGTCTGCAGGGTTGGTGCCTCCATCACCTCTCTTGGCAACCTGTTCCAGTGATCCACCACTCTCATATTCAAGAACTTTTTTTTTCCCAATGTATCACGCATTTTTTTCCAGACCTTGGTGTTTGCCACTGTCCTTTGCTGTCCCAGCCTCAACTGTGGCAGTTCTGTGCTGCCAAACTCTCAGGTTTCTTGAGATCCCACAAAGGGACAGTAGTCATCAGGGTGGGTAGTTGTGCTGGCCCTAAAACTTCTGGTTGGAAACTCGGGCCTCAGCTGTCCTTACAGTTATGTTGGGTGAAGAAACCTTAAATTCCTCTGGGGTCCCAGTCCAGAATTCCTGGATCTCATGTCTGTCTGGGCTGCAAGAAGTACGTGATGTGAGGGCTCCTGATAACCCTAGTCTACCACCTCCCCTGTGAGCAGTGTCCACTCTAAGTAGGAGCAGGAGGAGGTTGATTTTGCTCCACTCTCAGCTTGCAAGAGGGTTGCTCTGGGTTGACAGTGCCCGTTTGCAGCTGCTGCCCAGTTCCCTACCATCTGTCCTCACTCTCCTCTTGGCACCATCTCAAGCCACGTGTCCTCTCTAGGAGCCTTCCAACAACATGCATTAGCTTGAACATACAGTTTGGTATTTCGGGTAATATTTACCTTTACATATCACTCTTTTGGATAGGTTCTCGAGTCACAGCAAGAACATCAATTTATTTCATTTGGATACAAAGTTTTTTTTTAAAAAGCTTGCTATCGTTTTAAAGCAGTGCAGCTGCGCACATTTTCTATAGGTTTACCCTACAATAGTAATTGCAGGAAGCTGAACTGTTGAGCTATGTTAATTATCGTTATTGTTATCAATACTAAGATTGTTTCAGGACATAGTATTGCCTTGTGTTTTGTTTTGGGGAAAACCCTTCACTGCAAACTGTCTTGCATGTGAGTCCCATGTTCAGAGCCCACTAAGCTCTTCCCTGTCTTGATGTGTGTTGCCACTGAAGATAACTGACAGCTCCTCAGAGCTGGACCCTCAATAGCAGTTACAATGCAAATACTGCATGCAGTGAATCAGAAGATAAATATAGTATATTGTGGCCTTTTCCTAGAAAGAAATGTTGGCATTTCTGTTGGCATGGTTTGCTTTCCCAGAAAATAAACAGTTAGGGAAGAACAGTGACAAACCTTTGCTGTAATTGTCAGTTTTGCAAACCACTTTATAACTTCCCAGGCATCAGAAAAAGTAAAAAATATTCCCTATCCTGAACAGCATGGTAGAGACTTTCATTAATCTGGTTCCTAATAATAAGCAGAGCATGCTTACTGAAGGCACGGTGTTTAAGTACTGCACTGAAAAGGGGGCCATAGCCCTGCAGGTCAGCCCTGGTATGGGGAGTGCTCTTGTTTTTTTAAAAAGGAAAACATACTCTGGAATAAATTGTTGTAGTCTAAGTTAAGGTTTGTTGTTTAGGTTTTTTTAATTACAATATCTGTAACTTTATACATTGCACAAGACTTACAGCAAGGCTCTAGTGCAGGGTGAATAATTTAGATTATTTTGTCATAGCCTAATAGTGTGAAAATTGCTGAAAATATGTCAGTAAATTGCTTAGATCCATTGCTATTGTCGGAGCTTGTTTCCCACTGCTGTTTGAGCTAGGAAGCATAGGGAAGCACGATTATCTGCAGCTCAGCTTGAAAGAAATGTGTAATCCTGCACATACAGGTCTTGACTCGCTGTAAGTAATAGCTCGTGAGTTAACAAGAAGACCTTTACCTTTTCTAAATATGCCCGGGGTGGCCAGTGTGGTTTGTGAGCATGCACACCGGGCAGGTCCTTCCTCCCCTCGAGGCAGGGGATTCACCTCCACAGGGCTTGTTTTTGGAGAGCCAGGAAACCTCCTCCGTGGGGAATCAATGGTTATATAGTGGTGGTGGACATTTTGACCTGCTCTCAACAGCGGCTGACACTGAGGTAAATATAATACAATTGAGTGAATTAGATGGTTCATACTAATTGTTTATGAAACGGTGCTTCACACTGAAACTCCCCAGGTTTAAGCAAAACATGAAATTGCTGTGGAGCAGCCACGAGGAATGCTTTTCAGCAGCATCCTGCCAGTGCATGGCCATGGCGTGCTGGCTTGTCCTCTTTTCCTGCTGCGACTGCATCCGCCTGCATTTGGCTCCTTGGCTCTCTGCCTCTGGTGCAATCATGGGAGAGGAAAAGGAGCTGTGCTGCTGGAGCAGTGACTTTCCAGGGTGTGACAGGCAGGACGATGCTGGTGAGGGAACCCTCAGTGGAACCTCTGCCTGCAGAGCCTTGTGGGCAGAGGCACCGAGGCCTCTGGGGCGGCCATTTTAGTGACCCAGGAGCGGTTTGGTGCGAGGCTGTGGGGTCTGCTCTGCCATCAACGGGGGTAGTGCCAGCCAGAGGGGGAGAAAGCAGTGGCAGAGGAGCAGCCTTTTCAAAAGATGAGGTAGATGTGTGGTGAGGAGCTGTTGCTGTGTGAAGGGGAGGCAGGGCATTCAGATGGTTCCCCCTGCGCTGAGGGGCCGGCGCCATGTTTGAGGAGACACGGGGAATTTTTGGGTTGTGGGGCAAAATGAAGTGAGTGTCCTCCACTTCTGTGCCTCTCTGCTGGTGGAAGGGGGGGAGCCTCGGGAAAACAGGGCCCTCTGTCAAGTCAGGGTCCTCCCATTGGCGTCCAACCAGGGAGTCCTGGCCCAGTGTAAATCGAGGAGCTGTGGATCAGTTTTTGAGCTGGCAGAAAACGCGCAGTCACTGACTAAATGAGGCCTGTGTTCGTTTTCCTGAGGTGAGACTGTTTTGCTTAACATGTGCCACTGTTTGTATCGCTGTCCCAATGTTTATAAATGCTGCTGCTTAAATAAACAAATCCTTCAAATCTGTTTCTCTGGCAGTGTTCACAGCAAGCGCTTTTACAGAAGTTTTGCTGGTTGCATGAGGCACAAAAGTGTTTTCTGTCTAGGGGCTTGTTTGCCTCTGGTATCAGCAAGATGGAATTATTCTAAAAGTGCATCACTTTATTCTGTAGATTATAAATCAATACATCTCTTTGGTTATTTACACTTTTATGTCCTAAATAAATGCTGTGTATATCAAGAAACTTTGTTACTACCTTAAGTATTTCCAGCTAGTACCTGAGGGAATTTTGATTGGAAAGTACTTATAAAGGAGCTACCAATACTTTAAATAGTAAAACTGAGCAGAAAGTTGGATGGAATTTTGGCTCTCTGGTTTCTTGAAAAGTGTTTCCACAGAGAAATAATTAAATGGTATTAACAAAATGGATGGCAAAGATTAATTACAGAAGTGTCACATCCCTGCTTTTATAAAGGACAGCTGACAGCATGGCTTCCTGGCTTTCTGTAGGCGCTGGTTGGTATAGTCCTGCAGATAATAATGATTTTTTTTTCCTTAAAAAAAAAAAAAAGTTAAAAAGAAGCTATAACTGAATGAGGGAAGAAACATGCTCCTCTTGTTGACCATTTTTTGCACAAGCTTTAGTCCTGAGGTACAGTAGTGTGGTACCACTTCAATGACTGTGCTTCCCACCTGGTAAAATGTAGTTGCTGAATGAAGGCTAGATTGTGTTCATTAGAAAAGGTAACTGGTGTTTCCAAATGTGTTCTGACCTGCAGGTTATATTCTGTTCAATTATCTCATTGCCTGTTTGTTGAATTGGTTTGCCATTAAGAACAGAGTTTGGCTCTGAGATTGCCTCACTCGGAGTTTCACTCAGCGTTGCTGTTCTTTGTGGGGGAAAACTCACACAGAACTGCCGGGCTTTCCTCTTATTTTGTGGGTTTGTGGGATGCTTTTTTCCCTATCCTTCCATCAGCTGTTCACAAAAGCGAATATTTTGAAAATATTTCACCCAAATTTCCAAGGGCAAACACTTGAAAAATTTTCTCTCCACAGTCTCCAAGCAACATTTATGCTCATAAAGGGGTCACGGTGAAAGGATTCTGGAGGAGATGAGTGGCCAGTGCCTTCAAAGCAATTCCCATAAAACTTCTGGTTTTCCACAGTGTGCAGCTGAAGAGCTCTTTCTCCTTAGTTCTACTTCTGACACGAGAATTTTTCCTGCCTCCTCCCAGTGACGAAGACGGTGTGTGCAGAGCAGTGTGACGGACGGTGCTACGGGCCCTACGTCAGTGACTGCTGCCACCGCGAGTGTGCCGGAGGCTGTTCCGGGCCTAAGGACACTGATTGTTTTGTAAGTCTGAGACTCCTCATTTTTCTTCTTCCTGGCAGTCATGCTGCAAACTCTCTTAATGCTTTAATCCATGAAATTCACAGTTTTGACCCCTTCAATGTATTGCACACTCCCAGCTTTAGGCTGCAAGTTATAGCATTTAATATTTTTCACGTTATATTAACATCACTTATCTACTTAATAATACCCATTACTAGATGTATGAGATTTGTACATACAGATTGAAAACCATTAGCATACTAATCTCCATGATTTTTATCTTTTCTAAGATTATCTTTTAGAGGTGATAGGAAATTTTTAGGACTATTTATCATTACATTTGAGCCTGGCTTTTATTACTGCTCTGTGTGCTTTTTATTTGAAAGTCAAGAATACAATTCACCTTCTCCATGAAATGTGTTCCCTGTTACTGACGGACTTGATTTAAACTCAGCTTTTTTTGCTGGGCATGCTTCTTAGTGGAGATGGAAGGTGAAACAAAAATTTCAGAGCTTCCAAACCCCCTTGCTTTCTAACACTCCTCACCGCAGTGGGAGGCTGGTGCGGCTGGGTAAGGATTCCGACATCAATACCCAATAACAACAAACAAGCTGTTACTGAGCAGGCATTCTTTATTACAGCACTGGGCAGCACTGGGGATTCTCCACCATGAGCGCTCCAACGAGTCAGTGAAACACGTCAACTAATATACACCAAGAACATGCATATTCAGTTCCATGTCAATGAGTCCCCAGAATTCTTTTACATAGTCATTTTATTTCCTGGAATTGGCTATCTTTGTAATTATGCATGCTTGAAGGTCTTCTGTGGGGGTCTTGTTGATTCTAGTCCTTTGTGGTCTTCGTCCTGTCTCTCCTCCTGGTCCTGTCTCCAGTCTCCTGTGGGCCAACAGGGTCTTAGAAGACTTGATGTTATCACAACCTACAGGATGCTTGGCATAGTTGACTGATAGTTTCACAAAGCACCTTGGTTTAAAAGCAACCCTGTTAGTATAGCAAATTCATTATTTTAGTAAACTTTTATTAGGCTATATTTCTATTGAATTTACTAATGAATATCCTATGATGTATCAAAGGAAAGTGGTTTCCAAAATACACTGCCTCAAATGCATGCAACTACATGTGCTTAAGGTGGAAACAGGAAAAGACTTAACTTCTCACTTAAAAAATAAAATAAAATAGACAATCTGAACACATATGCCTTTAGACAAGTTTGTAGTTTTTTATTTGTAATAGTGTAAGCAGCTTCAGAACCCAACACTGATCTCAAAAACTGTGTAGTTCATCACTCTGAGTTACAGAGACAAATTTTGCTGTTATTTTTAGGGGAATCAAACCTAGACACAAAGAAGTTTAGAACTATAACATGCACAGGGAGGTGGATTTTCAAAGGTACCCAAGTGATTGAAAAGAAAATACCTCCAAAGTTGGGTGGGCTCTTTTGAAAATCTTTCAGGTTGGGCTGGTAGGAGGGACCTTACGGTATGGAGAGCTGCAGGTGCTTTGATACTGTAGGTAAGTGGATCATCATGAACAGGCAAAAATTAGTCTTTCCCTGACTGGATCTGTAACTTGCTCACTGGATATCATGTGACAGTGGTAGTAGATATTGTGCTTCAAAAATGCATTCTAAATGTTATTATTCTGCTGCTGATGAAATGCAGTAATGGCCTTACCTAACTGCTAACAGGTTTTACTGAAACTGTTCTTTATAGCTGGGGCTTTGCACAAGTAGATATTTAGCACACATGGTATTCTTGATCCAGCACTCACTGGAAGCTCTATGTTGGCTTTGAATGAGAAAGATGGGAAAATATCATTCTTTCCCATGTCATGCACAATCTAAATGCAAAAAGAAAACAGTTAAAATGCAGCCCATATGGTTGTTGATGAGCATCCTCAAAGCTGATGTGTTAGTGTGTGTCTGTTTTCAAAGGTTAAGGACAGGTTATTTGCAGGATAAATTCTGTAATACCGCAGCCTGAAATAAAATGAGTTAGACTTTCTGAATTGTGGCAGTTACAGAAATATGTATGCTAAAAATCAACTAGCATGTGTGTTCTGAGCCAGCAGAGGAGCACTCAGGGCTTTATTCTCATTCAGTCCTGGCCCGAGAGCAATGTAAAAGAAATCCGGCAGGGGTCTGGCAATTTTCAGAGCTAGTCATTACTTGCTTAGTACACACTGGGTAAAAAGTGTAACCCTTTAGGCTACAGACAACTGTGCTTAGCTTTCAGCTGAGAGATACAAATTTGTTTTTCCCTGTGTATCTTCCTGTACTTTCATTCACAAATTAGCAGCATTTAGCACCAAATGCTAGAGGTTTGCATATATTATTCAAACAACTAAAAATATATACAAAACACTATAGTAATAAATTAAAAGTTCCCAACGCTTCTAGGTGAGCTTTTCCTGAGAAGTGCCATCTCTATGAAGAGTATTGGTTGCTTTGCTTTATGCATTTGCTAAACTGTTATCAGAGGATTATCATTATAATCAGAGGATTATAATGGTTTATAATAATAAATCATTATTTTGGGCCCCCAGTACCTGAAAGGGGCCTTTAAGAAGGCTGGGGATGACCAGTTCACTAGGGCATGTAATGACGAGACAAGGGGCAGTGGTTTTAAGCTATGGAAAGGTAGATTTAAGTTGTACAGTAGAAAAAGTTCTTGAATATGAGGGTGATGAATCACTGGAACAGGTTGCCTGGAGAGGTGGTGGAGGCCCTATCCCTGGAGATATTCACGGTCAGGCTGAGCATTCTGTTCTAGTGTGAGATGTCCCTGCTTATTGTAGGGGCATTGGACTAGAGGACCTTCAGAGGTCACTTCCAACCCAAGCCATTCTCTGATTCTATGGAAAGATGGATACCTTTTAAGTCGACAATGGATGTAAAAAATGTGTTGAGGAAACTAACTAAATTAGTGTTTCTTAATTAGCAAAAGTACAGTTTATAAAGCACTACAAATCTTTTAGTGTATTATGGCAGCTTGCTGCAGAATCCTGTTGTAAAAATGGGTTTAATATTTCTAGACAAAAATAATCCGTCCTCCTCCATATGCTGCCATGTGCATTTGCATATTCAGTTCTAAAAGCAAGACAATAATCATCATCTGAAATAACTGCAAGTAAACATTAAAACCAAGCTGGAGAGGTGTTCTTATCTTGCATTCAAAATCAAACTGGATATAAGTTTTGAAATGCATAGCAGGGCCTGGTTGAGTGCCCAGTGGAACCAGAAAAGTGACACAACCCTATTAGTAAACTTCCCATCAAATTCTTAAATAAGTAGATAAAATAGGTTTTGTAATATGTGTTTCAAAGAAGCAAAAAAGACAGGATCTATTTGGTTTACCTGCAAACGCCTGAGGACTGTGGAAGCTCAGGCACTACATAGGACAGTTCCTTCATCATGGAGCTCCTTGTTTGTCCCGTTCAGCAGCCGATTTTATCCCTCTTCCTTGGGTATATTATTAGCCTCTCCTTTCTGAAATCTTCAGAGATGACAAGTAGCTTTCCTCAGCCCTGCTAGTCCTGAGCTCAGCAGAGACAAGGCCTGTTAGTAAAGGTGGCAGAACAGGGGTATCTCTTTCACTTTTCTTTTGGTCCCAGCCTTGGAGGGGAGGGAACATGACACACATGTAGGTATACTTGCGTGACTCTTTAAAGATTCAAAACTACTTGTATTTTTTACACCCTGGAAAAGGACTAGAAGGATTCATCCCTAGACTAAAACTTAAAAAGCAACCTGGCTTCCCACAGGTTAGTGGGGAAGCAGAATCCAGTGGCAGTGGTTCCCTGCACTGCTGGAGGGATTCAAGCCAGGCTACGGCTTTCATATTCAGATGAAATTTGAGATTAAAAATATGCTTTGTGAATATGACTCCAACAATTTTTCATAAGCTGTGGTTAAAACCACAGAAACAATATAGGGTGATAATGTTAAAATCAGTGGGGTTTTTCCATTGCTAATTATCAACCTTGCATGGTCAATTATTTTCCCTGCATACCACTACTCTCTTTATCCACATGCTTGCCTCTTCATTTGTCAGGGCCCTGTCCTCTGTCAGCTCTGGGTGGCTGAACTTGAATGCTAAGTGATGCAAAGTCCTATTTTCTTTCCTCAAGTGTGTAAAGAAACTGACCTTGTTAAACTTACTACTTAGGAAAATAACCCCCTCCTGTGCTAGCTCAAAAGAAGTTCTTATCCCTCTTGCTTTCTAATTGAGAATTTCAGTTTTCAGCTGGACTGTGGACTCATGCTGTAAGAAATATAAGGGTTGGACCTCTGAAAAAGTCATTAACATTTGTTTAGACTGAGTGATAAATAGCTGTTCACTCTTGGCAATTTGAGAAGGTCCTATCTAGTTGTGAATTAGTTGATTGTTAGTAGTAGCAATAGTTATGAAGCAAATTACAGTGTTGTTACGTTTTTGTAGGAAGTGCTGTAACAGTCAACTGTGTTTCAAATTAAAGGGGCTCTGTAAGACTCCTTTTAGAAGTGATGTACTTTCCAAGATCCTAGCAAGAATTCTAAGTAGCCAAAATGAAGGTTTGAAAACTGTACATCCCATTCCTCATTGGTGCAACACATCTGACCAACCAAGACTGCATTTTAAACTGAAAAAAACCCAAAACAAACAGAAAATACATACACGAAAAACAAAACACACAAACAAAACCACCAAAACGGAAGAAAGAAAAAATGTAAACAAAAGCAGCTGTATGGTTTAATTTAATGTTTTTTTTCTCCCTTGCTTTGCAGGCCTGTATGAATTTCAATGACAGTGGAGCATGTGTCACGCAGTGCCCCCAGACTTTTGTCTACAACCCTACCACCTTCCAGCTGGAGCATAATCACAATGCCAAGTACACCTATGGGGCTTTTTGTGTCAAAAAATGCCCACGTAAGTACTGGGTTAGCTGCATGTTTCTGCAGTGATGGGAAGTTGGTGCTGGATTTCAGGAGCCTTAAAAAACAGTGAGAGAATGAGAGCTCAGTGCACAGCAGAACCTCAGATCACTCCACATGGGCTTTGCAGCCTGTAAGAATTCAGTTGTGTGAGCTAAAGATGGTTACATGTGGAGTTGCTGACACTTTCCAAGCAGCCTGTGCTGTAGCCATGTTCCTAAGGAAAGGGAATTCACTGGGTTTCTCTTTTCATGACCACCACTTGTTACATTCATGCTTTAGATCAGCATTTGTGAATTTCAAAATGAACTGTTAAAGTAGTGCCAAAAGGCTGCATTAGTGGATTGTAAAATTTCTTTTCCAGAAAAATAAGTCCACCACCAGTACTGCCTGGCAGCACGTGCTTGGATAATGCTGCTGCCCTTTTCTTAACTTGGAGTAGTGATGGTTTGACAGAAAGTTACCACAAATATTTTCTGAGCAGGTGTGTCCCATGAGGAAAAAGCATGCAGTACTGTCTTAAAACTCCAGAGTAAAATTAGAGGGGAAGGGGGAGTTAAAAAAAGAATAATCCAGTGCATATAAAAAACACATGCTTCTGAGATGCCAGACAGATGGTGATAAGCAACAGAAATATTTAGGAGGGTCATCACTTACATAGTCTTTGATACTGCTGTTTTAGTTAGAAAGAAAAATATGACAGTATTTTTGCTCTCCATTTCCACTGAAGTCTGCAGTTCTGTTGTACATTAATTATTTTATTCATAAATCACATATAATAAGGATGAGTAATCTATAATAAATTGAACCATAATTCAACCCAAAGTAAAATCCAAATTTAGAATCTCTGTGGAGAAGTTAAAATTGACACTAGGATGAGGCTGTGACTGTCAGGACTTGGTTCTGTCTCTATAAGAGTGGTGGCTTTTTTCAAGCAAGATTTTTTATACATTTTATTTGATTTCTACAATAGTACTGTACCATGCATTGCTTAAGGGAGAGGATTATTTGTCCAAATACTTCATTGAATTTTTTTTTTTTTCCTTTCCTGACTTTATCAAGCTTTCAGTCAGGTAGGATTCTATACCACCCCCTTTGGCAGTTGTTTTACAAGGCAAAATTGAAATATATGTCATTGTCTTGTGCAGTGTTTTATTCCAGTTGTATGTATTTGTGTATGTATGAAAGAGGCAGAGCAGAGTATTTTGTTTTATTTCTCTCCAATTATTGGAGGTCACCAGTACTGCCTGGCAGCACGTGCTTGGATAATGCTGCTGCCCTTTTCTTAACTTGGAGTAGTGATGGTTTGACAGAAAGTTACCACAAATATTTTCTGAGCAGGTGTGTCCCATGAGGAAAAAGCATGCAGTACTGTCTTAAAACTCCAGAGTAAAATTAGAGGGGAAGGGGGAGTTAAAAAAAGAATAATCCAGTGCATATAAAAAACACATGCTTCTGAGATGCCAGACAGATGGTGATAAGCAACAGAAATATTTAGGAGGGTCATCACTTACATAGTCTTTGATACTGCTGTTTTAGTTAGAAAGAAAAATATGACAGTATTTTTGCTCTCCATTTCCACTGAAGTCTGCAGTTCTGTTGTACATTAATTATTTTATTCATAAATCACATATAATAAGGATGAGTAATCTATAATAAATTGAACCATAATTCAACCCAAAGTAAAATCCAAATTTAGAATCTCTGTGGAGAAGTTAAAATTGACACTAGGATGAGGCTGTGACTGTCAGGACTTGGTTCTGTCTCTATAAGAGTGGTGGCTTTTTTCAAGCAAGATTTTTTATACATTTTATTTGATTTCTACAATAGTACTGTACCATGCATTGCTTAAGGGAGAGGATTATTTGTCCAAATACTTCATTGAATTTTTTTTTTTTCCTTTCCTGACTTTATCAAGCTTTCAGTCAGGTAGGATTAGTCTATACCCCCTTTGGCAGTTGTTTTACAAGGCAAAATTGAAATATATGTCATTGTCTTGTGCAGTGTTTTATTCCAGTTGTATGTATTTGTGTATGTATGAAAGAGGCAGAGCAGAGTATTTTGTTTTATTTCTCTCCAATTATTGGAGGTTTGTTGTTTTTACCACAAATAGTAATGATAAAACCAAATTGGGGGAGAAGAGGGAATCAGGCCTGACCATTCATGGATTTTCACAAGTGTCTGAAAACATGCCTGATTTCTTTGCTCTTACACTTCTGAAAACACTCAGCATTAGTGTTGGTATCAATGTGGAAGTGCTGAGGTACTTAATAATATGAATTGACACAGACTCCAGAAACATGTGTCCTAGTATTATTTAGTCCAGAGGTTCATTCTCTGCCAACATCTCATTTTTCTCTTCAGACAACTTTGTGGTGGATTCCAGCTCTTGTGTCCGTGCATGTCCTAGTTCCAAGATGGAGGTTGAAGAAAATGGTATTAAGATGTGCAAGCCCTGCACTGACATTTGTCCTAAAGGTAGGCAGTAGAAATTTAGTAGAAATTCTCTTGAATGTGGTCTGTGCTGTGGTAGAGCAGAGCAGGGTGCTATTTTGGCATGAAATGCCCTTCATGAATATGTTGTAAAATGTTAATAGCCTTTGGATATCCACAAATCTATGTAGGCTGTGTGTGGAGTATATAGAAAAGAATGAAAATTCATTCAGTTGTAGTGGTAATATCTTTCCAAACCAATTACTTTTGATTATATACAAATGAAAGAGATTTCTCTGTTGGATTTAAAGACATCTGAAATAATTATTTATTATGTGATGTTAATGACAGGTACTTTCTGGAGATGTTTTAGAGCTGTCTTTTAGTCATTCCAAAGCTCTGACTTCAATGTGTGGTATGTCTCATACTTGTCAATACAACCTTAGGTTTCCATTTATTTCCTCTATTTCTGTTCTTTTTCTTTTTTCCTTGTTCTTTTTTTTTTTTTTTTTTTTAAGCCTCTGTATTCTCAGAATCTTCAACCTCCTTTCTAAGTGTCTAAAATACTCATTAGAAGTTTTTCAGTGCTGGTGCTGTTGAGAAGACTGAAATTTACAGGTTACTTTGCTGTCCCAAGCTCCCCAAGGGAGATATTCCGCTTCCTGCTTGAAGGTCTCTGGAGCAAAGCACCATCATGGGCCTGTGCCACTTTTCAGTGTCAAGAAGGGAACTCACAATGAAGCTACTCAAAACCTGTAAATCAGCAGTCTCTCCACATGGCTGAAACAGTCAAACACAGAGATCTCTGCCAAGGCAGGGTACTGATATGCTGAATTCTAAGTGAGTGCAATGTCCAGCCCTTTGAGCTAATAGCAGTAAATAGTTTTTTGCTAGATAGGTACTTCTATGTGTGAAAATGCACATGTAGTATCCCTGTCAAACTCTTAGCCTCAGTCTGTGAGGAGAAAAATTATCACACGTGTGTAAAATCTTCAGGTGTACTGCTGGTAGTTGCCAATAGAGGAGCCGAGCTAGGGAGATAGGCTTTAGTACACGATGGAAGTCATGAAGGATTTGTTCCTGGATGCATCACATGTCTCGGAAAATGCAACTAAATTGTATCAGCTACACAGAGAAGTTTTCTCACTGGGTACCAGAATTTCTCCATGGTCAAGTAACTCATTTATTAGGATGATGAGTAAAGAAATATTTTTACATGTTTCTGAAGGACCTCATGGCACGTAAGTGGTTAAGTTCACAAATCCATCAGAGCAAAAGGGAACTCTTGAGCTAGCAGCATTAGGATCCCTCTGTTTCTGCAGTGAGAAGTGCACAAATAAATGGTATGGCCACCAGGCTTGTCTAGGTTATCAACCATCTGTTTACAGCTGGTTTGGGGGGGATTTTGTGTGGTTCCTTCTTGCCTTTAGATCTGGTATGAAATACCTGTGTGCCAGGATGTCCTTCTGTGGCAGGTACTTAACTTACTGTTTGTTTTAAATTGCCCTCTGCTTCTTTGGGAATCTGGGGAGATGGTATTATTTAAACACCTCTCTGCTGCTTTATTCCTGAAAGAAATGATGATTCGTGTCTGTAAGGCAAACATGTTCTGATTCAGTCATTGTTTTTCCTAGTTCTTTACACAAACTCCTTCTTTTGGCAGCGTGTGATGGCATTGGGACAGGGAGTTTAGTGTCAGCTCAGACGGTGGATTCCAGCAACATTGACAAGTTCATAAACTGTACCAAGATCAATGGCAACCTTATCTTCCTTGTTACTGGGATTCATGGGTAAGTGACAATGTTAAGACATTGTGTCATGGTGCCAACTGAAACAAACTGCATCTGCCTCCTAATGATGCCTGCAGGCTTCATTTAATGAATAGCAGATCCAGGATGAAATAGTTTTCTGCCTTCCATTATGAAGGAAACTGTTACCTTGATTCTTACAAATCAAACTCTAAGAAAAGAAGGGATGAAGCAGCATTTTTGAACCAGCAAGAAAAAAGACAACTGTGATTTTTGGTTACTTTATGAGATCCTTGGTACTGGCTTACAATGATGGCTGATTGGAGAATAGAAGAGAGAAAGGGAACTTATCTTCCATTAGTTTGGTTTAAGTTTCATATGACCAGCAGTCTAATGTGCAGAAGATGCAGAGTGCTTCACTCAGCATGAATTGTCAGCCTGTGGGGCTGTCACTGCACAGACATGCAAAAAAGCTGCCCTCTTGTCAATCAGTTTTGAAGTACATATTCAAATTTCAATTGCAGAGAGATGCAAAAATCACTGGTATTTAAATCCAGTGTTTAGTTCCAAGTGTGACTGTCTATTGAATAAGTCTTGGTAATGGTTGAAGATGTGGAGGTTCAGAACCACTATTAAAAGGTCTCACCAGTGTCTCCTCTAAAGGAAGGTGCACCAACTAGCTAACCAGGGGCTGGTTGTTCATAGTCTGGTACACTGTGTGTTTGCCATTGTAGCAAAGGTAAATGCATGGTACAAATGCTGGAAGGGTGGGATGTGTCCAGGGAAGACAGACATACTCTGATGGTCAGGTGAAGTATAATGCAACCAGCCACTTTCTTGCATGGTGTTCTTTCTGTCATCGAGAGAGCACAAATAGGATTCCACCTACTTATAAAAGAACATATGAATTGGAAATTACCTGTGACACTTTGAGATATTTCTTTACTAAAATGAGAAAAATCCTCAAAATGACCAAGTAAGATTAAACTCTCTTGCCCCTTTGTTGCAATAAGTATGCAGATGTTTTCTGGTGCATTAACAGTGTAAAGTACTCAATTGCTTCTACCACTGTACAGGCTTCAAATTTTAACTTAATTCTTAGGTTCCTCAGAACCTTCAGCATCACTTGCAGCTGGTTGTCAAGATTTGATATCTTAGATCCAGTTCCCAAACCAGCTCTGTGTTTGCAGCTTTATGGCATAGTGAAAATGTGATTAACTGGATGACTGTGGGTTGATCTCAAACGGAATCCTGACATGAGTAGTGCCAGCAGATTTTTCTTTAGACTTCCTGTAGATTCAGATGTGTTTAGATTATGATAAAGTGGATGACACTAGGCTTCCTGGCTCACATTTCCTACTAAGTGAGGTGGGAAGAAGCTACTCGCTTCCTTGATTTGATATAGTGATTGGCTGTAATTCTTCACCCACAACTTGACTCCAGCCATGAGAAAACCAGTTGAAAATCTGCTTCAGTGGGGCCCTGCAGCTCGATGATTCTCAAAAGGCCAGCAAGTGTGAGTTTGCCTGTGGAGTTGGTCTTCTCATCTCTCCAGCAGCGAGTACAGTGTGAAAGGTTAATGTAACATAGGGAGGAAGAAGGACTTTGGTTCAAGTGGTTTTGAGGAAATGCTGCTTCAAGCTTGTTGAAACCCTGGAGAAGGTCACACAGGAGACAAGTGCTCAGGCTGTCACACTTTGTGATCAGGCCAAATGACCAACCCAGAGGCTGGATGTAAATCTATTAAATCTTACAGGAATGGAAGTACTCTAATAAGTGCAAGACACAAGCAGCTAGAGGACATGAGCAATTTTGTGGGGATTATTCCAGTACCTTAAGGAAATGTAATTTTGAGAATTAGAATTGCTTGTGTTGCAATAGTTGTATTAGCTGCAAAGTCGTGGGTCTCAATTTAAAAAAATCTGTCTAAATTGAAGAGTCAAAAGCCAACCCTAAAGGAAGCCATATTAATCTGAAAAATACCTAAATTATGGACTATAAAGCAGAGGGCTAAAATATTTAGTTCTATATTAATAGAAGAATATAAGCCTAGGACATGATGTTGAACAGCTGTTTTTTTCAGATTTCTGTTTCATTTTGCAAATAAATAATAAAGGAAATTTTTTAAAATTACACCAGCTACACAAGTAATTTACTCTAGAAGTAGACAGTATGGAGCAGCAACCATAACACATAGTTCCACTCCAAATTTCAGTTAATTTCTGTTACAATTTTTTTTTTTACTCAGAGTGAACTCCTACTTTTAAAAATATGAATTTTCAGGTTTACAGTTTATAGGGACATAACGTCAAGTACTCTGTTGGAAATTGGAAGACTTTTTGTAGTGGTAGAGAATAACTTGAGTGACATTTCTGTGTTTGCTTTCACTGGGACCTGTGCTGTTACAATTGGCCCTATCATATGTCTGATCTTTTGATTCTGTAGTCTGTCTTTCCCTTTCTTGAGTACTTGAACTTCAAGTCTTTGTGAATTTGTAATAATTGATGTAAAAACTCTATATAATTATTAATTGGGGTTTTTTGCACAATCATTTGTAATAATATATATATAATTTATATGTAGTTTAGATAATTACAAGTTTGCTTTGATTAGTGTCCTGAGGTTAAGTAGAATGAAGGTAAAGCTAAATTTTGGTGGGTCAGTAGTAGTTATTCTTGCAAGAAGTGTATGAATAAAGTGACCTTCATTAGGATACTTATCTGCTGCCTGACACAGAAAACACACTGGCTGGAAAGCAGGCAGGACCTGTCAAGGTCAGATGCAGCCTTCTCGCTACTGTTTCCTTCTTGTTGGGGTGGTAAATGCCACGCTGCCTTCTGCTCATGTTGCTGCCTGTGAAGGGGTGGGATATACTAAGGAGAGCTGGACAGCCCCAGCTAAGCAGCAAATGCTGCCTCCTTCTTCCTTCCACTTGCAGCAGTACCAACAAGCCCTTAGTGCTCACCATCTTTTTACCTTCACTTAGCTGTTGACCTCTAGTTTCAGAATGAGCTGAAAGAGAAATGAGGATGGTAGATGGTGACTGTATTAGGCTGCAGTTTTATATTGATAAAACATATCAGATGTTTGGCTGCTTAAGGGGGTTAACTGTTTATTTCTATCTTCAAAGACTACTTTATGCTAGGATTTGAAGGTAACATTCAGCAACCTCCTGCATAGTACAGGCAAGGGTGTTCCTTTTTTTATAGGAATGTATTGGAAAAGCAAAATTCTGTATTTCTGTTAGGTAGTCAAAACATGCTACCTAGTTTTCTGAGAGCCCCATATTGTTAAACCTAAGTGGACATGATGCTTCTGTGGTCCACTATGCTTTATGTTAAGGTTCAAGGTCTTACTTTGTTGTTGCTAACCTGAAGGATGGTTAGAAGTGACCTCATCAGTCTCTTGCTGCACAGAATTGTGAGACCTGTCCCCAGAAACAGCCTGCTTGATTACCTGCATGTTCTGATGCCAAGAATGGTGTCACTTGGAAAGCAGAAGGAGAATACGTGGAAATGCATGATCCAAATTTGTTAAGAATGTTTCTTACCTCCAGAAAACCCACAAATGTACCATAACAATGTGTTACAGAAGAATCGTTTCCTGAATTTTTAAAGGATTTTTGTTTGGATTAGGCTTCTAGCTGGCTTCTCAAGTACCTGGAGAGTCTTTACTCCTTGAAAACTAGGGGGGAAAAAAAGTTTAATAGAAGTTGGCACTCTCAAGGGCGGCTTCATCTTTTTACTTATCTAACTTAGAAATATTGAGGTTGGGGGTATGTAGTTTCTCAGGTGACTAACTTGTCTGGCAAGGATTTGTGCTTTTGGTGTCCCCATGTTCAACACCACCTGGAACCTGTACCCTTTTAATGCCATGTGCAAGGAACTGCTGGCATGCTCTGGTTTTGCTTATATCTTGTTGCTCATTTCAGTAGCAGTTTTGTTGGTCCTGGTAGTGCAGTATCACAGCTGTACCATTTGGGCTAGTACTCCTGGAAAAAATGTCCAGTGTTGAAAATTCATCTTTTCTTTAGGAAGATCACTCATTGCTGTTTAGAATCCCTTAATGTTCTGCTAAAACACTAATTATTTGAACTTTTAAGATGCTAAGCACCATTCTTTTCCTTCAGGATGACTTGGGAGAATTAGGCACAGGTTCTGTAGGAAAAACAGTCTGAAGAAACTAGTGACAGTCTAAAGATACCTGGTGTATATGCTTCTTAAAACCAAAGTGTTGACCCCCTGAATACTGCTTTCTGTATGGTATAGCTTTGACAACCTTATCTTTTCTCTTTTTTAATTCAGAGCATCACATTTTGTGCTTCTAATTTTTTAGGGACCCATATCACACAATTGCTGCAATCAATCCAGAGAAACTAAATATTTTCCAAACTGTGAGAGAGATAACAGGTAACCTCCTAATTTCATATAATCTGAACTTCTCACTTTATGTTTCTGGTTGTCATTTGTTACTTTTTCTGAAGAACACAGGATGTTTCTTTCTTTTAAAGCAGCTGCAGATGTGATAAAATTTTCATACACAAAACCCTCTGTGTCAGTTGATATTCACAACTGTGTTGTCCTTTGGTGATTACACAAGCATCAAAAGACCAAGGCCTTACTGTTAGGTGAGCAAGGGGTCTTGGTTCCATGCTAGCGAAGTGGGACAAGTTTGGCAAGGGGGGGTGCACCTAGTGAGGAAAATTAGGCTGGAATGGGGGAAATAATTGTCTTCACTTGAAAGCATTTGAAATACGCCTTGGAAAAAAACAGACAAGCCAATCTGGTTTTGCAGCTGCGTCTCTTGGTCTAAGAGAAATTTCTGCAGCAAATTATCTTCTGTAATTGAAAGACAAATGTATAATGTATGGGGTTAGTAGTCCCTCTCAGCTTTTGTGACTTTTCAGTGGTGTTATAGAGCTAGAACTCAATATTTTGCTTTCTTGTATCTTGCTTCTTATTGTTTCATCATTTAGGTGACAGGGAGGAAGATACTACAACTCTGAGTTCTTGATTGATCACCAATGTTCTCTAGATAGGGAAATGAAAAAATAAAATAAAATAAAAAATTCCTTGGTCTCTACAGCACAATTGTAGCTGGTTGGAACTCAAGAAGTGCTTGGCATTTGAAATGAGTTCTCTTTCACATGTTTTATCTCTCAAAAGTTCCGTATTTCACCAAACCAGTGGGATTAAAAAATGAAAGTAAGCTCTAAATCTCTCTCCAATTAACGTCAAAGCTAATCTGGCATCTGGGTGTCTGTAATTTGCCAATTTTAAGCACACTGTGCAATTGACATTCTCAGTTCTACTGCTTAAGTGGAATTACCCCTGTGTTTAAAGATGCATTTCAGTCCAGTACTGACTCAGAATCACAGGAAGCTGTGCTCTCTAGAGGGGCTGTGCAGCACAAAAGAAGTTGTTCCACTTACTTGTGCAGAGAATGCACTCTGCTGATGAACCATCCTCACAGACGTAGGAATGCCAGTTGTTTTAGGAAAGTCTTGTCATCTTTGAATGCATCGTATTGGATCTTTGAACTTCTGACCTAATTCTCTAACACATTTCAAAACTGGGTGCTCTTCATTCAGGCAAATCTTCATTTTTGCTGCTGCTGCTGTTTAGAAAAGGCCTTGCAAGATTCCAGCCTGTCTTTAGGTTCAGCCTCAGTGTGGCTGTTGAAAGTGGACATAATGCTGCTGCAGCTGTTAGAGTCCTCCTTTGCAATCTTGGAGGAGGCAGTGGTGAGCAGCCCGATGAATTCAAAGACAGTAGTTTGCAGCATTTGTTACCTATTTATTTATATGTCTCAACCCACCACTGTCTTTCATTTATAAGCTAACCCTCTCCTAACTCATGTATGTGATAAAGCAGTCTCAATGGCTGAAATAATTGACATTCACGTGCTTGTCTTTTTCTCCTCCAGGGTATTTGAACATACAGTCATGGCCTGAGAACATGACAGATTTCAGGGTGTTTTCTAATTTGGTTACTATTGGTGGAAGAGCTCTCTATAGGTAAGATGCTTCCTCTGCTGATGGAATAATTTTTTATTACCATTCAATTATTCTTTGTTCAGTAGCACAGGATGCAACAACATGTAGCAAGGGCATTATAAATTGACGTTTTTCTCTTTACCCAGGTATTCATTACTAGTAACAGTTGTTTGTAATACTGCATACCTTTTGAAAATATTGATTAAAAAAAACCCTAAGCAAGCAAATATGGTGGTTCAATGATGTAGCTATTAACTCGTTGTTGAGAAAGTGCATTTTATGATTTAAAATAGCTTGTGAATGTGAAACATAACTTAAAAAAACATTAATAGTAGAATTTAGCCCTGTTATCACAAAGTTTATATGGTTGCAATTGGAAGTGCAGGCTCATGTCCTCAAAGAACAATGTGGTCTTCAGAAATAGAGAAAGATAAATACAAGGAAGAGCACTGAACTCCCTGAGGTACCTTGCAGATGGGTTGGAGTGTACTTTAGCTCTGCAGTGCCATTTTATCACAGATGTTTATGTATGAAAACTCCTATGGAGGAACTGGTTTGAAGAGAAGAAAATGTGGTGACAAATAGTGGGTGAAGCTCATGAATGTACCTGACTGATATATACTGCATCCCCTGGTTCTGCATTGTGTAAATATAGTAAATCAGTTGTGGAATTCTGCTGGCATCTTAAACAGCAACCCAAGCAGATAATGAATAGCAGTGAAACCCTGAGATTGAATTACAGCCCAGCATTCTCTTTAGAAGCAGCATTTTTTATTTGTAACAGCTGGAAAACAATTATTATCATTAAAATACAATAACTTAAAGGATGCCTAGAAACTGGTTGTTGTCTTCACTAATCTTCGGTCATAAAATATGTGCAGTCCTTCCGTGTTACACAGACAATCATTTACCCTTCCTTTGATAAAGAAAAGTGATAACTACCTCTCACAACAAAAGAAAAATGAAATGTAGAAAAGTAGGCTGGAAAAGATTCATTGAAAATAGCAATTACTTCCTGTATTACTATAAATTACATTAATTTGATGCCTGACAGAAGATGTTAATACATTTTACATTACTTTGTCAGTTTCCTCATAGTCTATAAACTATAATTGTATTAATTCTGTCATCTTAGGGAAAAAAAGTGTCTGGATTTTATTCAGTTTTCTCAACAGCACTTTATCCCAAAAAGCATGTTAATGTATGAAGTGGAACTCTGCATTTAACTTGAAAATCTAATAAATTTCATTGAACTCAGAGAGTGAAATTCTGCCATCACTGAAATGGATGTCAAAATTTCCATCGTCTTTGGTGGGAATAGGATTTCAGTCTATACACAAAAACAAAGTTAAGGGGTGTTTTACTGGCCCAATTGGCCTAGCACTGTGAGCATCACAGCTTATGGTAGGAGTATCACATGATTTTCTAGGCAATTGAAAAGGATTTTGACTTACAAAATATTCACATTACCCCAAAGTAAAAGTCTTCTCAGCTTTGTCAAAGGATTATCTTGATGTTAGGAACTAATTCTGGAGGGAAACTCCCAACCAGCTCTACTAAGTTCCACCTCCTGGAGCTAATTCCTCTTTTTTTTCCCCCATCACAGTGGCCTTTCCTTACTCATCCTGAAGCAGCAAGGCATTACCTCTCTGCAGTTTCAGTCCCTGAAGCAAATCAGTGCTGGCAACATCTACATAACAGACAACAGCAACCTGTGCTACTACCACACTGTCAACTGGACCAGCCTCTTCAGCACACCCAGTCAGAAGACAGTGATTCATCGAAACAAAAAGGCAGAGAACTGCAGTAAGTTCTATAATTGGCTCACTTGGGGTGAAAACAATACAAATACTGACAGGATATAGTGCATTGGGCAAAGTCAGGAACTTGCCTGGTGTCTCTTGGAGCTCCATGGCCATCCGTGGAGCTGTGATTGCTTACAGAATCTAAGCATATGGCCCAGTCTGAGCAGATTTATAGGTAAATGGTATATCTTAAAGTATGACCACCTGAAAGGGAGAAGAGAGAGTGCTGCTTCCATATCCCCATGCAAACTTCACAGGCTAGAAGTTTCACAAGTATGTGTTGTGGAGGCCATCAATATGAAATGAATGTAATGTTCAGCAAACATTGCACTGGTTTCACAGATGCAAAAACTATAGCCCATTTCTCATGGAGTGAGATTAGCATCTTTCTCTACTCCTACCCTGCTTCACCTAAGTGTCCCTTTTTTAATCAGAAAAGTGACTTTTAAGACTGTTTTTGGTGACTGAGTTCCATCTTTCTGTACTTGACCTATCTAATAAGGAAGATGACTTTTAATTTGGCCTAATAGTCTTTCAGGAAAGCTGACGTGTCAGTTCCTGGACTGAGGTCATAGTACTGAAAAGCAAATGGATGCTATGTAGCAGATAAAACAACTTGGTTTTGCAGAAATCAGGCAGGAAATTGCATTAATGCAGTGATATTCTAGCAGCAATACAGTACATTTCAAGCATCTGCAGGACTGCTAGCAAGAAAAGAGATTAATTAAATAGCTGTATGTTTAAGTGATGTTACTGAGTTTTGTGCTTTGAGGAGAGATGCAGTGTGTGCTGCTACTTCTGTGGTGAGGAAGTTCACAGGGGTGTCCCATGTGTTGATCAGCTTCATGCTCTGGTGTCCTTACTCCTGTAACCCAGCCAAGAAGTGACAAAAGCTGGAGTAAATGAAGCCAGATGGTTGTCTGTGAGAGTGGCATAGCTCTGTTTGTCATCCAGAGATGATCAAACTTGGGTGATAATGTCCTGTGGGAATGGAGTGTTGATGAAGAGTCCAAGAAGAGTCCCAAATAATGAGGTGAGTTAACCAGTTATAGAACAAAGGAGGGTGCATAATTTCTATTTTCAGCTCACCAAACTTTATCTTGTTCTGGATTAGCTCTGGTTGCTCCTTGCAGTGAGGTACCTGAACCTCTGAACCTTCCAGAGAGCACAGGTTTCCACACTGCCATGTGAAAAACTGCTGACTGTGGGAGAAATACCTTGCTCTCTGCTGTCTTTGACATTTTCTAACAGCAGATTTGCTATAGCTGACTGATAATGATGCATTATTTAATGAAAGAACAACCATCTCCCATTCCTAGGGATTTAGTATAAAAATAAAATAAGGAGTAATAGGGTAGAACACGAGCCCCATGTCTCCTTCCTCTTAACTTTAAGCTCTCTATAACTTACAATATGTTAGAAGACAATGGAACAATGGAAAACCACTCAGAGTTGAATTTCTGAAGGTGTTTTTCCCTTCATGGAGTAGTGCCCCTTTTGCTTTACTGGTTTTGAGAGCTTGAAGGCATAGCTGAAAACAGTAGTTTGGCAGATAGTATTGTATTAGTTATCAGGACTCCGTTGTCAAATACCTGTTTGCCTTTTTCTAAGGTCACTAAATTTGAGTCCCTTTGAAACAGCCACAACTACTGAAACAAAGGTTTCCAGGGCAAATGGCAACTTGGAAGCACAGTCATCCTCTTGCACTGTATGTCTTGTCACTGCATCTGCACACAAAAGGAAAATGTAAACTTTATTGGAATTTTAGCTTGTTAAGGATTTGTTTCAATAGAGACATCAGAAACAAAAATGCTCCCCAAATATTTTATGAAATTTAACACCAAGGGGATCTTCATGAGGAAAACAAATCTCATTCATATCATTTTAAGAAGTCATAATGTATGCTACAGTACCAAGGGGCTAGTTTTAAAAGTGGCTCTAAGCTATGTTCATTAAATGGACTGTACTTAATGAACAGAGGCTGGGGACCAAGTTGCTGTGATCAGAAGGGAGTGTCTTAGCTGCCTTCCTGAATCCTCACAGAGAAGAGTGGTTTTCTCTCTCTGTGCACATCTGAGTGAATGAATTGATGAATGCTTTGTGCCCTTTTGAGAGTCAGCAGTTGATGAGAAGAACTACCCTGCTGCTTCAACTCTGCCTGCCAGTCAACACCTCTGTAGAGCAAAACGGGTTCTGCTGAAGCTTAGATATCTAAGGGAAATCTTCACAATTGCTTGGAGTAAGGCAGAACTCTTCCTTAGAGCCAGATGCATTTCTCTGGCATCTTCTGAAACATCTGTGATTTTCATGATCAGCCGACAAACAGGGCTTTGGGAGAGTTTTCTTGGAATCTTCAACTTCCTGAATGTTTGGGATCTGAGGGCAACCCTCTAGGGTCTTAATTTCTGCCTTTCAGTTATTTTGCCTGTTCTAGGCCCAAATCCTGCAGATGCTCAGGCATATGCCCATACCTCTCTGACATACAAGACTAATCAGAATGGGGAAGGGAAATGTGCAACTAAATATTTGCAGGCTCAGAATCCATCCTCTGTAGTAGAAATGCTGTCTCTTACATGGTAACTAGCATGGTAACAATTAGCATTGTTAATAAAAACATCCATTAAAGAAGTTTTTCCATGTGGTTTCCAGTGAGCAAACCAGTCTAGTCCATGTTAGTTACAACAAACACTCTCAGGTTTGTTTATTATTATTATTCCTTTGTATATTTTGAGTCAGTGTCTGTTTTTGCTTCTCTAATCTCCTAGTGATTGTTGATGGTTTGAAACAAGTTACAGCAAATATTTAATATCCACTTGAGTCAATATTTACCATCCACATGTGGCTTTTCTTAAAAATCATGCAAGAGATTCTAAGATCTAGTCAGTATCATAGTTTAGTGACCTTTAGAACATCTCACAAGATTGTGATATCTTTTACATGCCATTGAGTTGTGTGTTCAGCTGACCATCGAAGTCAGTGAGGAAATATAAAAAAAAACCTGTTGAAGTAGTAAAATATTTATGGAAACGTTCAGTCTGTAGTGATGCTTCATCTTTGAAATAACACTGACATGGGGTTTGGCAAACTCTTTTTTTCAATAAGGAAGATAAAGTCAACAGCCTTAAGTCAGTGGAAAATGCTACAGAATTAGCCAACACACAAAAAAAATACACCTTATACCAGCAATTATCTCTTGCTATTTCTGCCCCTTCTTAATGTTCAAGTACTTCACTACCTTAGGGGTGGCTTTCCCAAAAGCCAGTTAAAAGCCTACGCCAGATTTTATTTGTTAGTAAGCATGTTGAAAATCCAGGACCAAAACGTGTGGTTTTTTGATTTAAAAAAACCAAAAACTCCACAATGGTCTATGGCTTTGTGTTGTCTTTCTAATATTGTCCCAACCAAAGCCAGAGATGGGTGGGTACCTGGGAGGACTGTGACCTCTCTCTTCTCCACCTTTCCTACACACGTTCAGGGATAGAAATGTCAGTGTCCAAGCTTGTGTACACAGGGAACATAGAAGAAAGTAGCACCTTTTAATGCTGAGCACCATGGCAAGGGCAGCAGTGTGTAATCATCAACAAGAGACTTGTGAACCACCAGAAGATGGTTTCAGAGACCCTGAAATCAGCCTGGACTTGGGGGCTGGTTAAAGGAGGTTTGAGGGCAAGGGATAAGTTGAGCCTTCAACAGCTGTTGCACCTTTAGGACAGTCTGATAGGATCTCCTAAGGTTTTTTAAGAGTTCAGATGGCAAATGGGCATCTTCAAACTGATAGGCCAGGTGGAAATTACTTGCAGAGCATTTGTCTAAAGTGCAGTGCATGAAGCTCTAGTCTAATGTAGACTTTTAATTGTCTACTCCCGTAAACTGTAATATTAAGCACAGTTTGTGCGTAAAACTTAATTCATTATGAACTTTATTAATGCAGAATGAATGACTATAAAGTTATTTGCTAGAGAATGGGCTCGGGTAGTTCTCTGTGCTGAAGTGAAGAATCTGCCTTTTTTCCCAGCATGGGTTGTTGGGTTTTTTTTAAAGGAACAATCAGAGGTGCTAAATATGCACACAAAATAAACGTAGAAAAAATACTCTTTCATACAAAGTTATTTAAATCCTTCCAGCTTTGGTGACACCCGCAGTGTACGGCGAAACCTATCTAGGCAAACGTTGTTACAATTGTGATTGTTATGAATTATGTCAATTTAGCCACCAATTAACAACTTGAATAAATTATTGCATTCATTATCAGACATGATGCAAAACTAAGTGAAGTCTGCAGGAGCTCTTCTATTGAGTTCCTGGAGCTTTGAATCAGGCCTGTATGTGTATAGCCAAAGAACAAGAATTTTTCTTCATTTTAGCTAGCTAATTTTCTTGTGTTCTATATAGGTTAGGGAAAATCTTTGAACCTCTCTGCTTCTAAACTGTATGACCCCATTAATAAAGCAGAAACACTTGTTCTAAAACTCCCAATGAAATGAGTTCCTGTCAAAAGTGTTATTGCTCTGTTCTTCCACACATGACCGTGTGATGTGCTGGAGCTTCAGAACCTTCTCAGCCCATGGAAATGCAAAATAGTGTGTCTAAAATTGAAACGTTTTCAGTCATCCCCATAATTAAAGAAGAGGAAGAAAGACAGGTGTAATGGGGTTTTATAAGTTGTAAAAAAAACCCTGTGCCCTGCTTGCCAGGATTCATTGATGAAAACATTTCTATGACTTAGAAATAAGCAGAAGGAAATACTTTTCTTTTCTTTTTTTTAATTTTACTATTGAATTGCCTTTTTTTTTTTCATAGACACTATGTTGGCTAGATTTCAATAGGATAATCATGATTTTCTTTACTGCAAAGCTTTCATTTTATTTGCATAAGGCTTTTTGATTGGTTCCTATGCTTTTTGTAAAAATGTAAACGTGGAGTGTCCTTTGTAGGCAGAAACAGAAACAAGTAGATGAAAATGTGCCAATCTCGATATTGATGAAGCAAAATTGCAAGAAGAAGGGAAATAAGGAGAAAGCTTCACTCCTCTTTCCTGCTCGCTACATGGGCTGCATGAGATAAAGCATGCATACAGTTGTGGCTTGGTCTTTTTTCTGGAAGAAGTGCTTTCTGATCAATTCAATAGTCAGAAGACAGGGTGGCAGTCAGAGGAGGGACAGGACAGGTAGCATGTCTCAGAAGAAAGCACCCTGCCTGCATGACATGAACATCCTGCATGTTGGCAGACAGAAGGAGGTGCAGGAATTGTTTTGTAGGAAACTGAAGAGGACAGAGGGTAGGTGTGCTGTATAGATGAGGAAGATGTTTGAAAACGTGGTTCTGACATCAAACTGTGCTGTTTGGTAGAAAGTGACAATTGCAGAGCAGCTAAGGAGAGGGTAACTGTGAAGCAACGTGCTCTGCTGTGCAGTAGCTGCTAGGTCAGGTACTCAGTGGTTCAAATGTGTGATGTTACATACACCATAGGAGAGGTTAAGCAGTGTTAAAATATGCTGTGGAGAACAGAAAGCACCCTTCTGCTGACTCTTGCGTGATTTGGAAGGGCTTTGTGTTTCTCAGGGAACTAAACTCTGGATGCTCTGTAATTGTTAAGGTAGATTGTAATGGATAGCGCCTAACTGCAGTTTTCCAGTCTTCACACTGGAAACAAGACCATCAAATATCCTGAAGTGAAGGTGAGGTTTTGTATTCCAGTCAGACAGCTATGCTGCTGTACTGAAGAAAGTGTACAAAAATAATGTGTAAAGCAGCAAATGGATGTATTCAGTCTGTGTGTGTGTTCCTGACTGGGCATCTTCATTGCTACACCATGGGAGAGGCAGTGGTAGAAGTCTACCTGCAAGCCTGCTTTTAATTTATTGTTTACAAGTCCCTCAAACCAAACCAAACAAACTCCAAAACATTTATATTTTCCATATCTGATATTCCAGATCTTTACTATTTTTAATCTACTACAAACGTAACCGTTTGTATAAAATACTTCATCGTGCAAGTGGGAATTCAAATGAAGAGATCTTCCCTCTCACATGCCGGGGTCTGGCTGAATCTGTGCAACTGGACTTTGTTCAGATGCTGGAGAAATACGATGTGCTTCCTTTTCTTTGCATGTTTTGCCATCTGTTACAGACATCTAGATATTTATATAGAAAAGGATTTATACAACATATAAGTACAGAATTAATTATATTGTTTCCCTCTCACCCTTCACTAATTTATTTTTTTTATAAGCTGAATTTTGGTTTTGAGACTGGGACCATTGTTTATTTTATAGGTTTTCTTGAGATTTAATAGAAAGGCTCTTTGGCTCTTCAGGGCTTTTGCAATAGACAATTTAAAAAATACAGTTAATGATGGCTTTTCTTCAACTTTTTCCCCACTGTCCATAAGCTTTATTTCAGGTCCATAAGTTTTATTTCAGAGAGCCCTCAATTAGGAAGTAGTGTTTTATATGTTAGTTTAATAGCCCTTCTGTGGTTTTGGACAACTGATTTTTCAAATTCTTTACATTTTTGGCATTTATCATGTTCTGTGTCAGGAACTTTGGCAGCTTGATCTATACTTTCTATGAAGAAAAAACTCAGTTTTGAACCCTGTTGCGTTCCTGTCTCTTCTAATACCCCTGAGGGACTTGGAAGAAGCAATGAACAGTTGTTTCGTGCTTACTTATGTTCTTGTAATTCATTATTGTATAGACCTTTATAATGCCCTTTCTCCCCATATCTAGGGCTACTCGTCTGTTTATCCCTGGTACAAAACATTTTGTCTAGTTTTGATCATCCTTGCAGCACTCTTAAACCTTCTTCTCACTCTATCCTTTCTGAAAGGAACAGACCAGAAGTGGGTATAGTATTCAAACTGTCAGTGCACAGTGTGTTTCTGGAGTGGTATGATTATCCTGTTTTCCACTATCCTGTTAGTAGAAAGTCAGAACATCCAGTTGACCTTTCTGAGTGTGGCAGAACGCTGAATGAGATGTACTCCATTGGATTTCAGAGGACTATGTAAATTAATGATAATCCCCTCTCCCTGCAGCTGCTGATGGAATGGTGTGTAATGAGTTGTGCTCAAGTGATGGCTGTTGGGGGCCAGGCCCAGACCAGTGTCTCTCTTGCAAGCGCTTCATCAGAGGAAGGACCTGCATAGACTCCTGTAACCTGTATGATGGGTAAGACAGTCCCTTGCACTTGTCCCTAAGCTTGCTGACTACATGGTTTGACACTGGTGTGATATGATGTATGAGATACGAGCGAAATATATTGAGGCATAAATTTTAAGTATTTCCAAATCTGAACTTGTGTAGAAGGCTTTACCTGGTATTCTGCTGGCTAAGATTTTTATGCAACATCAAAAGCTTGTTGCACCTTTGGTATTCTGGTGATGTGAATGGTTTCATTTAAGGTAAAACTAAAAACCCCATCATTTAGCCCTAACTGAATATTGACACCCCTGTGCAGATACACATATTATTATGTTCTTTCAGATCAGTTAGATTTATACACGTAAGAAAGAATAAGGACTCCAAAGTCAGAAAACTCACTTCCGCCTTTCCCCCATAATATACTACGTGTGTACACACAAATATGAACAATAGAATCTACATTAATTTACCCCCTTCTCCCACTCATGCATGTGCATCATCTTTTCTGAAGGTTGGGTGGAGGAATAGAGCACAGCCAAGGTCTGGCTTATGACAAGAAAACTGAGCTGAACTGCTTATATTAGCTGCAGCAGAAGAAATTAAGAATTAGGCTGTGGACGGAAGCAGGTGGAATTTTACTTCCTGTGTAACAGAATAGCAGCATCCCTGGCACCTCATTTATAGTCAGGATAAAAAACTTCAATTATTTCAATTATCTTCTTCAGCTCAAACTTCTAATTGAAACTAAGATCCCTGTATGGTTTCTTTCTTTTATTGCCTCAGATGCCAAGAGATGTAACTTTATGGAAAGAGTATTGAATGAGCTCCTGTATATATGTGAAAACATTCTAAACTCTTCTATCTGGGCAATGTATGAAAAAAAAAAATTAAAAAATCTTGTCACAGTAAAATCGAGAGGAGGGTGTCATGACCAGCCCTCAAATCAGAATGTTCTGATCTGTATCTATCAGTGAATGGCATTGATACTTTCCACGGGCTCAGTTCCTTCCTAACTCTGTGATTTGTGACCTGGGCGTGGTGAGAAGTTTTGAGTTGTTTTGTTTTGGATTTTTTAGAGAGCTCTGCACATTTATCTCTCAGGGCAGCAACAGTACTTCAGGTAGGGTCAGATGTATTTCACTTCTCTTTTAGTCCTCAGCAGAAGACCTCTATCTCCAAAGACTTGCCATGGTCAGGAGGTTTTCCTCAGCTGTACTGTTGCAGTAGATCCTAATGGCTCTAGAGAAGCAAAGGGAGAACCTGGATTAACTGGGCACAGAGGCCTTCACCTTTACCTGAATATTACTGAAGCCCACTAACAGGAGTGTGCAGCACATCTTTAACTGGTTAATGCAACAAGATGGGATACATCTAAAAAGCTTAGGTGTCCAGTCTGAGCTTGTTACTTAGACTCTCTCTGTGGTTGGTGGGGAGAGATGTGGCTTGTTCAGATGTTAATTCATCTCAGCCTAGAAGAAGGTGGAATGATTTTTGCTAAGAAGGTGCTGAAGGTTTTTTGTGATGGAAAGCTGGAAGCTGAAATGAGATACCTGGTGTTTAATGGAGGAAATCCCATCTACTATCACTATTT